CGGGAGATGTTCGGGGCATGTCCCACGAGAAGGAGGCTCTGGGGAAGACCAAGGACATGCTGGAGGGACTATGTCTCTCAGTTGGCCTGGGAACGCCATGGGGAAAAGCTGGAGAAAGTGTCCAAGGTGAAGAAAGTCTGGGAGTCCCTTTTTAGACTGATGCCCCCCGTGATCCGGCCCTGGATGAGCGTAAGAAAATGGATGGATGGGATCTGGATGAAACTGGCCTACATATATGACAGCTGACTGAGGAGAGTGTAAGAAGTTAACATCCCAATTAGTAACGCAAATAAAATGAATAAATAAATAAATAAAAATGTCCTGCTGATGTAATCTGATGCTGATATTTCCAAGGAATACACATAAACAAACAAATAGAAACTTCAAGCAAATCTGAAGGTCGACAGCAAAAACAAAAACATGCTCAAATAGACTCTTATAGGTAAATGCAACAATAGGAAATGTTATAAACTACAGTACATAAAATAATTGTTAATAATATGGATTAATTAGTGGATTTCAGCTTCTACAACTGGGGAACAAGAGCCAGTTTTTGCTTTAGATTACACTGTACTTTGCCACGAAATACCTAGTAGTCATCTAAATGCAAAAATGTTGGACTGGATCAGTAATTAGACCCCAAATCTCGAGTATTACGACTAAAATCTGAATATTAACAATGATAATTTGAACTTCCCCGTCTGTTTTAAATCTTATAAGCCTAAAAAATACTGTGGTGCCCTCTGAAACTCAGCAGCAGCGGAGTGAAGGTGAGTTAAAGCTGGTGCCAAACAGGAGATCGGTGCGTGACGGAATGAACTGAAAACATTTTTGTGTGCGGAGGATTAAAAACCTTACGTCACCGCGTTTATTCTGCGCAGAGATGATTGTTTCGGGGCGAGGACGAGCGCGTAAAGGGGAAATTAAACAGCGCCCTCCTCTGGTTCACTGGGGGTATTGCAATCAGGCTTCCAAGTTCAAGGAGAGAGGAGAGGTTGGTTTGCGTAAAGGTGCACTGTGTAACTTTTGGTTGGGGATTCGTCACGTGCTCGTTTCTATTGCTCTGCCTGGAATGTTCCACAGTGTGACATTAAACAGCTCTACCTTACATTTATTAAATTACAGGTGGTTTTATAGCTCAAAAATACTCTGAAAAATAGACATTCTGACCTGCCTCTACACAGATCTGCCCTGTACAGCCTAAAGTATATTTTTTGTGATTTTTCTATCTATTTGGAGGTAAATAAACACCTTAGCATTTAGGTTTTGGTCATTTTATTTTTATTTTTATTTATAATTTTGGAACATGTCCTCAGTAATGGACACCGGGGACATTTTGGTGTTAAATCCAACCTAACAAAACAACTTTTTTGATGACAAACATCTCTGACAAGCGTTTTTAAACTCCCTTTTAATTTCTTATTTATGTATTTATTTATTTTTAATCATAGTGCAGCCAGAAACTAACTCCTATTGCGTTTTTTTTTATCCTGGACATGATCCATCCATCCATTTTCTTCCGCTTATCCGGGGCCAGATTGTGGGGGCAGCCGTCTAAGCAGGGACTCCCAGACTTCCTCCACCCCAGACACTTCCTCCAGCTCCTCCAGGGGGACCCAAAGGCATTCCCAGGTCAGCCAGGACATGAGAGTACCTATATTCCCCAAGCCCTATTTAGGCAGAGAAACCTAGTCCCCCATTAAGAGTCTGTCTCAAAACACTTAAAAGATAAACTGGTTAACCCAATGTCCACTAAAAAGGACACAAATGAATGGGTCTCAGGAGGATACGGTGACCAGACGTCCCAGTTTTGAGCCCTGTGTCTCCTGTCTCAGCAGATTCATACAAAACCAGTGATTTGTCCCAGTTTTATCAAGAAATGTCCCTATTTTTGTCCAATTTGATCAAAACCAGGTCTAAATCATGATTAAACTATAAGACTAAACCAGGACTAAAACAGGACTAAACCAGAACTACATCAGGACTAAACCAGGCTTAAACCAGGACTAAAACAAGACTAAAACAGGACTAAAACACCACTATCACAACTTTTGACTAATCTGATCTCTTCCAACAGTAAAGAAGATCATCAGTTGTCATTTGTTTTGCCAAAATACAGAAACCTGTGTTTGCAAATCACCATAAAGCAACAAAATGCAACATCAGAAACCCTCAGATTATGACTGACACAAGAATGCACAATCTTACACACTCATTTCATTATTTTATTGCATTTTGTTTCATTCACACATGTTTGAGAAATCCTTCATTATTAATCTGCATCTCAGTCTAAATATGCAGAGTTTGTGCGTTAAACATGCGAGAATAAAACAAAACACAACTCCAGGTGCTTTTGTGATGAGGAAACATTACAACATAGATCAGAAAACAGCGTAATATGGGCCCTATTATAATATTAAATCACAATTTTATACCAAACATCCCAACTCGGGTGTGTCCCAGTTTTTGAATTTTGAAAGTCTGATCATCCTAGACCTGTAACTTGGTCTGGTTTGGTCTACGTGAAGATAGAAAGGTTTAATACCATTCCAGACAAAGAAATAACATCTCCATGAAGAAAAACATTTGACAGACCCTCCACTGGAAAAGTTACACAATGCAAGTAAGTATTTTTATTCATGTAGTAGTTAGACTCATGTTTTATCATTGATTAAAAACAATAAAACAATTCAGCAAAGTTCTGGATCAAACATATGCTTTGTGAAAGAATAAAACAATCTAGGTGAATTTTATTTAGCTCAACACTGTGGACTGTCAAAACTAAGACTATTTGACCTAGTTTATGTCTTTTAGGCTCCTGGGTCTATCTGCCTGGAACAAACACTGGTGGTGGAAATGTGCAGGGCCCATTTGAAACTGTAACCAGACCTACTACAGCATGACTCCCACAATGCACCCTGACCCTCCCCTTTGGAGTCGCCGCTCCTTCAGTCTGCAGGACTCGATTCTAACCTTTATCTCGGATTTCAAGAAGCTCCAGAGACAACAGAGGGCCTTATTGTGTGAGCTGCAGGCGGTGGAGGAGAGGAGAGTGAGGCTCTGGTGACACCTGCTGGACAAAACAAAATAAGTCTAAGGCAATAAAGGAAATATACAATATCCTCTGTGTTTGTGTCCTTTATTGTCTGAGCATTTGAAGAGTTAATTTAAAAATGAGAGAGCTGCCGTCTCCAGAAGATGATGATCTGATTGATTGTGACATGTGCTCTCTCAACTATCTTTTCCTTTTTAGACTTTAACAAACTTTACTAATCTACAAAGGAAATTATTTGGACACAGTCGCTCACACATCACATTCTGTTTTAATAACACAGTGTGACAGATTTAATTTTCTCTTTAAACGATCTCTCATCTGAAAAGTTCAACAAAAACAATGAAAAAAACAAAATCTGATCAAGTTAAGATGACTCGATTTAACAAACTTTTATCATGATTTGAGTAAATTTCACGAAATTATCAGTAGAATAAGACTTAAAATATGAATTTTTCACTTAAAAAAAGAAGCAAAATCGAATGTTGCTTGAATTAACAAAAACAGACTTATTCCAATGGTACATAATTTTACTTTTCAAGCTGAATCGACTCATATAAAGTCAAATGTTCTTAATTTAAGTCATTTTAACTTCCCTAGATATTGTTTTTTGTTTCCAGTGAGTGACAAGGCTCTACTAAATCACAGGGCATTTAAGCCCCTGAAATACATCTTCTGTCATAACAGTCCAGACCCATTGAGGCCAGTATTGGAGGCTCTTGCACCAAAGGGAGCGAGTCTGCATTTTTTTATTAACTTCCAGACAGATCCATTTTGTACATTTCAAAAATATTTAGTTGGATATATTTTGTTGCAGAGGTGGGACCAAGTCATCGTTTTGCAAGTCTCAACTAAGTTTCAAGTCTTTGACCTCAAGTCTGAGTCAAGTCCCAAGTCAAATACAGGCAAGTCCAAGTCGAGTGTCGAGTCACTGGCCCATAAGTCCAAGTCAAGTCCGAGTCGTCTGCTTTGAGCTTCAAATCATTTCAAATCTTTAAAGCAAAGTACCAAATATAGCTTAGAGTTTTGTAATTTATATGATTTTTAAGCTTATTTGCGCTTAAAAAGTCATGGTATATTTATATATCAGTATTTATATAAGAGTTGTAGAAATGCCAATTTTTCCTTTTTAAATATCTTGGCAAGATCTTAGTGTGAATCATTACAGTCAGAACAGAAAGAATTAAGATTTAACTGTGCTAAATATCAGTTATTTTGTCTTGAAGGATCATGTGCTATGTAGTTCCCTCTGTTTTACAGTATTGTACTTTATTGTTCTGTATATTACTGTAGTACATTTGATGGTACCATATCACAGTACTTCAGTCACATCCAAAGTAACAAACAGAAGTGGGAAGGACATGTTCCAGTTTGTTTCTGTAAAATTAAACGCCACATTTATCAACTGTAAATAAAAGTATTTTCACACAGGGCTCAAGTCCAAATCAAGTCCCAAGTCATTGACCTTCAAGTCCAAGTTGAGTCCCAAGTCTTAGTCCAAGTCAAGTCTCCAGTCCTAAAAATAGTGACTCAAGTCTGACTCGAATCCAAGTCATGACTCGCAAGTCCCCACCTCTGTTTTGTTGTGTTTTCTTTATTTGGCTTCTGTGTGAAAGAAGAGGTCAAATCTTGTTCTGTTGAAATCCACATTCATTCGTGCCCAGTGTTTGGTTAATCCATTTTTTTGTTTTGGAAAACTCCAGAAATTTTGGAGAAAATTCCCATAGGACATTTTCTGCCCCTTTGCAACCCTAACCCAGTAATTGGAAAACCCATAAGTAATTTTGAATACAAAAATACACTGAACTAAATACATAAAACTAGTAATTTGTGCTTTAAAGGTCATAACTTTCAACAATGTCGTCTTCGGACACTCTGCATCAAAACAGTTTCGAGCAGCAACTTTTAGCAAATGTTCAAAACCGGAGATAAAAACTCACCAGAACACTTTTGTACACATTGAATATTTTATTAAAAAAGAAGTTATAACAGTTTATTTTATACACAACTATTTATGAGGTTATAAGCCTATTAATAGCGAGCATGTGTCTTTGTGACAGGCATGCCCACTTCACAATGCAAAGAAAAACATCCGACGGTGATCCAAATAAGACCAGTGAAGATGAGTTTTTCAATCGGAAAATAAAACTTTGTAACCCATGGGTCGGTATCATACACAAAGTACCAAATACAGAAGTCTATTACAAAAGTCTGCCATAGGGCCCACGCTGAAACAGGCTGCAGTCATGTTCTGTAAAAATGATATCCAAGTTTTAGATGGAGGGCACAGTCAACAGCCTATTATATCACATTTTAAAAACTAAATCCAAACAGAAAATCAGCAAAAGTTGAAACCAAATGATTGCGTTCACAAATCCTCTGTAGAAACGCCTATGTGAGTAATACAATCACATTTTTGAAAATAAAAAACGTATTTAAAAGCTACCATTTGTAATTAGACTGGCTGGTCCGGTCCAGTTGCATTGTCACATTTCACCACTAGATGGAGTCTATGTTACTACATGTTTTACATCTGCCACCTACTCGAAAAAACAAAACAAAACAAACAAAAAAAACAACACTTTGTATCTTTAAACTAAAATGTGTTGCTAGACTTTATGATTTAGTTTGAATATTAAACCCAATTTACAGATGGCAGCTTTAAATACCATAAAACAACAATCAATTTTTGTGCTGACAGAAGGTTTTAAACTTTTTTGTTTTTGTTTCTCATCTTTTGGCCAATTAATGGTCGATATTCAAATAAAATACATTTACGAACATTTTAGTAAAAAAAATAAATAAAAAAATACATTTCTAAACTAAAATGTATTGCTAGACCTTACGATTTAGTTTGAAAATTAAACCCAATTTACAAACGGCAGCTTTAAATAACGTAAAACATCAGTTATTTTTTCACTAACAGAAAATTTTAAACTTTGTGCCAGTTTTTGTTTCCCGCATTTAGGCCAATTAATGGTCAGTATTCAAATAAAATACATTTACGGACATTTTAGTAAAAAAAAAACAAAAAACAACATTTTTGAACTAAAATGTATTGCTAGACCTTACGATTTAGTTTGAACATTAAACCAAATTTACAGATGGCAGCTTTAAATAACATAAAACATCGGTTGTTTTTGTACTGACAGAAGATTTTAAAATTTTTTGTTTTTGTTTCTCATCTTTAGGCCCATAAATGGTCAATATTAACCTTAAACCAGCACAAAAACATAAACTGTAAAAAGAAATGGACGTCACCCATAGTGTTCAGCTCCAGTCAAATGAAGCTCATCGATGCTCCCAGTTACGGGCAAATTTGGGGCAGTTAGGAATTTATTTATGGGCAAACTAGTGAAATAAAAACACCAGGATCATGTAGAGCGGGTGACCAAAATGACGAAACTCACAGCAGCAGTTACAAAGAGAAAGGGTGACCATTTTTGTATGTAAAGTCAATTGAAAACAAAGTCAATGGAGCCTGAAACTGCTCCCATGCTCATTTCCTCTTTAGAACACAATGGCATATACAGCCTGTGGTGAAAAACAAAACCAAAAACCAAGTATTTTAAAACTTAAGCAGCCTCGACTCGTCCATAGACTGAACTGCCCTCCATCTCAACTTCAAACATCACGAAAACGCAGCCCGGGAGCCAGCAGAGGGCGCTATGGGCAGAGTGGAAGTGTGCACCGAGACATCCTCACTCAAGCATGCAAGTGCACAAGAAGAAGTCCACACAAATGTCCGGGGGGTTTTGTGCAACAGAGTCATGGATCTATTGTTTATCGGAGAGTAGATACGCTGTGTGCCTCTGGGGTTAACGGGGCTTTTACATCCAGTGTTGTGTGTGTGGAGGGGGTGTGCGCATTCACCTACAGAGGGCGCTATGGCTCTGAATGGCAGATTTCTCCGCAGTAGTTTAAAGAGCACTGCAAAAATATAAATAACGTACACATGAGCAAGACTGGTTTGAATTCAGGAAACGTGTCAAAGTTGAGTTGTCCTAAAAAGGAATTATGTATTTGCACCAAGATTTGCATTTTTCTCCATTTCGAAGTCAAAAATCCGGAAACATTTAGGAAACAATATCGTACGTTTTGTTTTATGCGAGGTGTCCACTGCACGATTTTTTTGGATGTCAAATTTGGCTACGGACTGAAGTTTTTCCGAGCAAATATCAGGCTCTTTTAGCATTAATTTCTTGGCGAGGAGAAAATTCGGTTGAAGCTGCGAAACGTCTTCAACCAAACTCGACAAACTGAATTTTCTCCTCGACCTGGATTCTACCTGGACGACTGAGGGGTTCTTCACACATTAATTTCTTGGGTTCTTTTTTAAAAACAACACAGTAGGACTTGAATTTATCTTCTGCGAGCTGCAAGACAATTTCCAAAATTCAAGAACCCAAGAAATTTAAGTACAAAATAAGACTGCAGAGCTTTTCTTTTGTTACTTTGTGAAGAGCTTGTGTCACTGTTTGACTAGACGCAGCGAAGAAAGCTCATTTTGTGACCAAGATTCCGTTGATTTTTTTATTGAAATATTTGTATTTTAGTCAAATTTTTTTTTTTTTTAAATTATTGGAATATTGTACCAACTCTGTGCAGCACTTTAGACACTTTATGTTGGTAAAAAGTGCTGTACAAATAAAGTTGGATTGGAAAACATCTTGGTTACATCGCTCCAAGGTCATTTATTTCTTAACCAAATTAACGACTCTTAACCTGATTGTGAAAAAATATATCGTCAAAAGTGAACATTTGTCGCCGGTTGTGTGGTATAACTTCGTGCATACCAAAATCGTGCAGTGGACATCAGCTTTAAAGACAAAAAACGTAAAATATTTGGCATAAACATGTAATTTAAGTTCAGACAAAGTAAATATAATCAACTCAAATCAAATGTTTAATCTGAACTCGGTCATTTTTACTAATGTATCGGCTTCTTTTGTGGCGCTTTGTCCGATCCACATAGACATTTTAAAAGTTTACTTAGTAGATCGGACAACAACGACCGATTAAAACTAATAAAATAAAACATCGTGAACTCTTTAGCTACAGCGAGAAACGATCACTCACTGAGTCCTGAACGAAATGACCTGAAATGAAAGGCGTTTTTGTTTTCTAACTTTTGGGAGTGAAGTAAACACAAAATAAAAAGAAATCAAGAAAAATCATTGGAGAAGTTCTCGTTTCCGTGGCAACACCAGGCCAAAACAGCACACAGTTTGCTTGTATGTGCTGCCATGTGAACAACGCTGATAATAAATGTATAGTTTAGGTTTCAAAAGTTTTTAAAGTGAGGAGATTTGAGATTTAGTGTAATGTTAGCGCGGTTAACTAATACTGCTATGTATAGATAAACATCGTCGATATTCTCAATGTTTCAAGTCTATGTCGAGGAAACGCGTCGGCTCAAATCGAAAAATGGTGTAAAATAAAAAATATATTAGAACTGAAATATGTGAATAAAGATAACTTCGCAAAAAACACCACGACAAACATTTAAAAGTGGAGAAATGATTACCCCAATAACCCAATTATGATCAAACTCTTTGAACTAAAGACAAATAAAGTGTGTTAAAGTAAAAGTTGGTCATATTTTGTGTCAATCTGTGATCTAAAACGTCGTCATTCAAAGGACATGGCTGCTGATGTGAGGCATGCGCTGTAAAAAAAAGTAGAGTACAGCATGAGATAGACTTGAAATGACTCGAAATCAAAATATAAATTAATGCGTATTATATATTTTTTACATAGTTTCTGAAAGTTTTATGATCTGATTCTAAAAGCGTAGATTCATGGCATTTCCAGGTTAGTTTTGGAAACAATTTAAGATTGAAAAATATGCCATCTTCTTTCCAATTTAGTTTGCAATGACCAGAACATTTACCGGGTCAAATGAAATACTTAAATTAAAGCTGCAGTGTGTAACTTTTGTAGTGGAGGGTCTGTACCTCGCTCGTTTCCATGGAGATGTTACGACTTTGCCCGGAAGTTTCATCAGTACGAGATTAAAAATGCTCTAAAATTATTATACAAATTTGACTTTTACCGTAGCCTCGTGGTGATGGACACAGTTAATGCCATACTGCGGAACATTCTAGGCAAAGCAATAACATCTCTGTGAAGGTGAGCAAGATGCAAACGTCCACCGGAAAAGTTACACGGCGCGGCTTTAAGATAAACGCGCAGAATTCAAGCCTTAAACGCGTATAGAGTATTTATTTGCAGTAAAAGTGAAAGGTAAACGCAATGTGAAACTTTACAGCCGTTTCTTCAGCCGTAAAGAGTTTTGTGTTGCATGTTTTTATACGAAAAGCGCTCTGTAAATAAAGTTTGATTGATTGACTGATTGAATGTTCAGTTCAAGTCTCCGCCGAGCTCCCGCGACGCAAACAGATACAACCAAACTGCTGTCAAATCTGCATTCAGAAACACCGCGCTATTTGAAGAAGTAATGCTACTGATTCGCAGAGGTGGGTAGAAATCGGCTACACTGGATTTACTTTACTTTTATTTTTAATCAAATCGGATTAATTGAATAGGTTTAAAGTAGCAAAGTTGCGTTTTGAAGTAGCAGCATATTTCTTGTTACTCTGTGTAGTCCTTGTATGTACTTGTATTTTTATGTTGATGACTTGAAAATTATGAGTTTTTTTAGTTTGCAATATTTTTTTTTTTTTATTAAACTTTGGAATATAATAAAGAACATTGTACGTTATGTGTTTTTTCACTCATACCAAAGTACAAATTAGTACAAATATCGATACAGATATTTGCAAATTTTATAAAATCAGTCATCAGCCTTAAATCTGAAAAGCAGCCACTTGAAGCTTTATTTTAACTCTAAGCACGAAGAAATAACTGCAGAGAAATCCAAGGAACCCCGGAAGTGCGAGTTCGGGCACCAACCGATCAGCGAAGAGCCGTACATTCTGTGTTGGCGACGATTCCCGAGATCGAGGATTTAAAGATGGAACAAAGAGAATTTTATCGAGGGGAAAGACGTTATTGTCCTTCTACCTACGGGATTTAGGAAAAGTTGGTAGAGGTGCATTACATACATCACGACCAAATAGCAGCGACTGGTAAACTTTAGCAGCGAACGAATCCTAATGCTGCGAGGTCAGACGGTTTCTACGAAGTGAAACCAGTTTGAGTTTGACGTAAATTTTAATTATATAATTTGAGCAAAACATCAACATCGGACTTACGTATCAGCCCAAAAATATCGGGAGAGTTTAATGGACTACTTTTTAATCAGACACGTTTTACGTGTTGGTTATAAAGTTATTAACGTATTCCTTGAAAGTACTCGAGTAAAACGTTGGCGACTCCACCCACCTCCGCTCCAAACTATCACTGTACAAAAAAATATATAGCATGTGCTTTCTTACTGCGTGGAAATGGCGTAAAATTATCGGTATGTCGATGAGGCACAGAGAAAGAGAAAGGGTCCTATGACACAGACCAGAATGCCCCTCCCCAAAGAAAAATATCCACTACAATCTAAATAAATACATTTCAATAGGTAGCATCTTACTAACCAGGCAAAAATATAGAAGCAGCGATTTATGTGGCTGAGATTTCACTGCAAAAATAACTATCTGCAATGGGAAAATGACTCGGGATCAAGTATTTACGAGCGGTACGTTTTGGATTTTAATACCAGCTTCATTTTGTGACTGAAAACAGTTTTTTTTTGGCTCTGACTGAAAATTAACAGAAAAATAAGTCATTTTCACCAAAGGAGTATTTAATTTTGCAGTGCTGAGGCTGTCTTTTATCACTGTACAAGGAAGATGACGTATTTACACTAACCTAAATGTACAAGAAATAAGTAGAAAAATACTATATTCTAGATCACTGCTTAACTTTCCCACGGGTGAACTGTAACCATACAGATGTGGATACTACAAAACAAAAAGGGTTTCTTAAATGGACCACTATTAAGGAGGTAATGAGGAGGTATTTTCCGACTGAATTGTTATAAAAGACAGTTTCTAAGCTGGTTCACTAGACCTGGTTAATTTTGGTGGAGGTTTGGTCAGATCTGATTCGGTCCTGGTCTTGATATAGTCGAGGTTTAGCCCGGATTTGGAACTGATTTAGTCCAGGTTTGGTACTATTTAATCCTTAAACTTAAACATTTTATCTTAGTCCAGTTTTTATCAAGACCTGATTCAAGTTTTGGTCTAGGTTAGGTAAAAAACGAACTGGTTTAGACCTGGTTTAGGCCTGATGTAGGTTTAATTCCAAGTACGTCTGCATGATTTGTGAAAAAATAGCTCTAGTTTTTTTTCTAAAAAGCACTGTGATTTAGGGTTGGGCAGTAATACGGTATTACGGTATCCTGCGGTATCAAAAAGTAGCAACGGTATCAGTTTCATTAAAAAAATGTGCAGCGCATAAGGACCTAATGTAATATTATATTTTAATAATACCTAAATTTGTTTGCTCAGCACAAATTAATGTGTGGTTGTGTTTTCAGTTTAATGCTATACAAATTTAAAACTAACAAAAAAGGTCCATAATGTTTCTTTTAACTGCGCGGGGAGATGATGTTTGATAAGTTTTTTCTTCCGTTGTCACGTGACACTCATAAGAGAGACCAAGACAAGATGTGGCAAGTCCGACCGCGAGCGAGTTGGTCCCCCCCAAAAATACTAGTACTTCTGCAATTTGGCAGCATTCTGGCTTCAGGTGCACATTTGTTTATAGAAACGAAACTTAAAACCGCATGGCTCATTTGCATGATCTATAAGCGCTGATAAAAACAGTTCAGACATGACTCAGTAGAATATAAGTATATAGAATAATATTTTTCTGTGACAGTGGATGTGCTGCTGATGGTGAGTCTGTTCTGTGCGTGTATCGCATTGGAGATGGTTCATGTTTAACTTTTCAGGGATTATAAGTCTGCAGGTCATAAACATAGACTGTACAGTAGTGCGGCTTCCCTTACCAAAGTCGTACTAAAACATTTTCATAATACGGTAATAATGTATACCCCGGTAAAACTCTGAGACGGTTTAACGGTATCAAAATCTGGATACCGCCCAACCCTGCTGTCATTGCGATTACACTTGCGATTTGTGTTTTAACAATAAGATTCCGTTCAAGGTTCACTTTTCACATCCAGAGGAATTTGACAAAAAGACTGAAATGTGAACTGACAAACAAACACAAGAATCACATTTCAGAACAAGTTTGTACAGATCTAAACTAAAGGGTTAGAGGTTTTTATGCGGAACGAGACAGGATATTTTGTTTGCGTCCATTCAGATTGCAGTTTCGATTTCATCACGATTAATCATGCAACTCTAAACTATAGTCTTTTCTCTACTCCCACTTGTCTTGCTCGTATTTGCTATTAAAGTTGACTCTGCTGAGACTAGTTCCATCATACCAAACCTGGACTAAATCATGTCTAAACCAGTACAAGCCATTACTTATTTAAAGTAGGACTGATAAACAAATTTGTGACAACTTATTAGAAAAAAGCTGCACAAAAACTGCAAAGGACCACTGGTAAAAAGGTCTAACTCAGATCGTTGCTAGTTTTCCCTCCAGCATAATAATAACTGTGATGGTTTAACAAACTTGTATGGACTTTTATGAGCGTTACCGACCAAATATCCCTGGGAAGAGGGAAAAAAAAAAAAAAAAAACAGATTTGAATTAACCAAATACAGTCTAGCTCGCAACAGCTTTCTGACTTTGTTGTATTTTCGGTTTGGCCAGTAAATCTGTTTTTGAAGTAAAGTGAAAGTGAAAGGACTCAATTAGTAAAAAAAAAATATTGATGTATGTTACGTTTTGTACTGCTCTGATGTTAAATGTAAACAAAGTGTAACAAAAACTCGAGCATCCAAAATAGGAAAAAATAAACAGCCTTAAATAATTTGACTGCGGCATGAATTTAAAGGGACTTGAGAACAAAAAATATAAAAAAATTTCAAAACCGTGGGCTACAAACTGAAGAGATTGAAGACTAAATTTCAGGTGAAGTCGGATTTTTTTTTTTTTTTTAATTCTTAAAAATCTGCCATTTGGGTGCTCCTCTGGCTAACACTACGCAGCACACCTTGAAAACGCAGAGATTGTGAAAAGCATTTGAATAAAGGGATCAAATTAAATAAAAACAGCTACAGAAGAGGACAGGGGTGTCTCTCAAACACACCAGAAGGCTAGATATCCATAAAAATCCTTGTTTAGTAATAATAATAATAAAAAAATCAACTTGTTTAAATATGAATATTATAAGTCTGCTTTTCTCAAGGAAATCAAATATAGTCTCTGTCTGTGGGTTTAAGGTGATCACTACAACTCCATGTCCTGGGCTTCGTCTTCTGAGAAATCTGACATGGAGCTTTCGGATGAAGAGTCTCCCGCCCCCTCCTCCTGCTCCTTCAGGGCCTCCTCCGTTGCATATTTCTGGATGTACTCTGGGGGCAGTAGAGAGCAGATGAGCGGTTAGTGACAAGAATGTACGAGCAGGTTTCTTACTTTACACTTACCTTGCACTGCCTTATCTATTTATGGTTTTATGTATGACTATTTTAAATCTCTGTATGTCTTACTCGTATGTTTGTGATGTACTGCAGCTGGAAAACTGAAATTTATTTGGGATTAATGAAGTATTTCTATCTGTTGGAGTAATTTTGGTAACTTTTTATGATTAACATGATGATTATTATTATTAATTTGATTTATTCAATTTCAATACTTAACCCTGATGCTATCCTCAAAGAGATACAGAGGGGTACAAATGTGACCGGGTCAAATGGACCCATATATCCATGGGTCCATTTCACATAATAGCCATGTGACTTGGCCTTACATTGTCTCCGTTCTTCGTGTGCCTTGTGATGTTTATGCTCTTTATTTATTTGGAAACTGTTTTAACCTCAGAGGGGTACATTTGAGGATAGCACAAGGGGTTATATTCTATTCCATTTCAATTAATTATTGTTAATATTAATCATAAGTGTACCTCAGTAATGTTTATTTCTGTATTATTTTGTGGCTCCTTAGTTAAGACCTGTGCAGGTGCTCCATTTGAAACTTGAGCCAGGCAGTTTTTTTTTTGACCTCCTGTTGCCCTTTATCTGTAAAATTCCCCTTTTTGTTTGTTTTGTTTATCTTCAACTGTGTGAATACTCAGTAAAGAGTTTTTAACTGCACTTTCTGTGGATTTATTTCACGTTTGAGGCATTTAAAAGCTAAGGCTTCACAAATGATTGGAACTAATACTATCTATTTATTTATCTATATTGATCTGTACAGTAATTTGAAATAATACAAATATTGTGTTGTGTTATTAAAGTGGCTGTACCACATTATTTTCCACGTAGTTGCTCAACGGGTGAACATGGGACCGATGTCTGCTGCCTCTGTGTTTTTTTATACCAGGAAGTGCACTGTAAGGATGCTAGTTGTTGTAACACTACTGCCATAGCCCAAACTTGGTTCTGGTCTTTGAAAGTAGTGAAAGGCAATTATAAACTCATTGTGACAAATAATTATGATGCTCGAAATGTGTGAAGAATAACTTTGGACTGCTGCAAACTAAAACTCTACTTTTCATGTTTTTAATACAGTAAACATCAGGGACGGTGCCTTTAAAACTTCATATTGTCCCCAAATAACTGATCAACATTGAATAATACTGAAGGTTAAATACTACAATTCTTATATATTCTCATGAATCTCTCTTTTAAAATGTTCCGAAAGTGTGTTTTTTCTGATTGTACCTTTGATTTTCTGCTTGTACTCCTCGGGTTTGTGCAGGTACATGGCGGCGGCGTCTCCGTTCAGAGGATCGATGGGGTTGGGGTACGCCAACAGCTGAGGCAAGAACGACTCAAAGATGTTGGTCAGATCTGAACACACAAAAGGACACGAACGTTATAATTATGTGCAGTAATGTTTGGGATTAAAAAAAGAAAAGAAATCATGAGGCATTCAAGGTTGATTTCTTTTCTTCTGTGGCAGATCTCAGCTTCAAAAGTACTGCTCTTTCAAACACTGGTGTAGTTCCACTCTCTTCTCACAGAGGGCACTATTGAGGTCATCCACAACAGTCCCTTCGACATAAAGACACAACTACTCTTGAATATTTGCCAAGTCCAGCCTAGATCCTTTTTAAATCAGTTCAATTAAAATTTTAAAAACACATCGTAGCAAAATAACTAAATAATAAAAAGATAACGGCTAAATTACCACAACAAATGATTATTGTTCATTAGAAACTGTACAAAGCCCATCTCGCAGAAGAGTATGTGGAAAACGAGGCTGTAGCCGTGATGCCATTTAAAGCGCCCAAGAGCATCTCTGCCCAATGAAGTGTCTGTAATGATGAGTTACACCACATTAAAGTGAATGAGTGAAGCGCTGGAGAGGAGCCAAAGGGGCTGAGGAGAGGAGAAAATTAGATCACTCAAATAATAATTAGGAATGCACTGATACCGAAACCAAAATGGGACCAATGCCATAACGATTAACAGTTTCAAACATAATATAATTTCTACTGAACGGGGAAAAGTTCTGAAAATGTTGCATATAACAGGAATCTGAAAGCTGTGAATTGGGTCAGGAAAGGATGTGATAAGACGATTTTACTGTATGTTGTTCTGTTCTTTTAAAACAATACAGCGATAGTATCCACAGCTGATATATTTGCACATAATGTTCTACACTTATATACACTATTTTTACAACAGTATTTCATGTTTAAACTACTACGAGTACAAGCTGTGTATCTTAAAACAGAAGCGTAACATAAACCGAGCTTTTTATTTTCATCTCAAATGTTATGCAGCACTTAAAATACAGACGTCAAATCAAACTTAACGACTAAAAAGTATATTATTACACTTAGATCATAATTATTACATCATGCAGGAGTATCAGTAACATTTTACAGCAGTTATGTGCGAGGTTAATTTGACCGGACAAATTGCAAAGTGCATATGACGGGTTTTCGTGTTTTTTTTTATTATTACTTGAAGAGAAAATTACAAAAATACAGGATGTAGGGCTGAGTTTTAAAACAGAAAACCTCTACTTATATCGCCACAGAAAATATGGAGAACAAAGGCATTTTTCTGGAAGTAAACTTCAGAATATTAGAAAATAGACAAAAATAGACAGATTTGTTTTTGTAATTATGTTAACGACATTTTGGTGAAATGAGGAGTCTAACCTGTTACATGCTCTTTAAACTTCATAGTCATAAATTAGTCCCTAAAATTGTCTCTTATGAGCTTTAAATCATGTTATAATGTTGTTACCTCCTCAAAAACAAACCTGGAGTTGTGTTTTGTTTGATTCACACGTGTGAGTAATCCTTTATTAATCGTCTGTACATCTCCAAGGATTAACATCTCTGTTCCACCTTGTGATGTCATGTAATGATAGTTTTCAAGTTAACATCTACATTTTACCTTTACTTAGAGTAGAGATCGGCCATTCCAGGGTTGGAAATAATCCACATGATTCTGGTGAAAGTGTATGGATTTTAAAAACACAGTGGAGCACTTCCTGTATTACCACATGACATCACAAGGTGCAACAGTGTTTTCAGTTTAAGAGAAGAACTCAGACTAATAAGAGTTTGTGTGTTAAACATGTGTAAATGAAACAAAACACAACTTCAAGTATATTTTTGATAAGGAAACAACATTATAACATAGATCACAATATAGCATAATACAGGCCTTTTATTATATATATATATATATATATATATAGATAGATATTTTTTTTAAGAGGTGTGTTTCTTTTTTATGTAATTTTTTGTAATGCAGCCTCATTTTTTCATTGCTTAGTCATAATTTTGTAGCTTGATTCATCAGCTGGTTTCACTTTGTGGAAAATGTCTGACCTCGCAGCATTAGGATTCGTTCAGTCAACAGTAGGTGGGCACTTTTTTTATTTAACCAATCACTGCTATTTGGTTGTGACGTATGTAATGCGTCGCTAACGGGACTAACTGGAATATTAAGCTTCTCCCAAATCCCATAAGAAGAAGGGAAATAACATCTTTCCCTTTGATAAAATTCACCAAACTCTCTCCTTCTCCTTACTCCAGCTTTTAATACTTGATCTCGGGAATCGTTGCCAACACAGAATGTCCAATTAAGCCCTGATGAAGACCAGTTAAGGTCAAAAAATGTTGGCTTTGGCCATTCAAATAAAGGCCTTTTAACTACATTTTTCCTCGTGCGATTTTTAAAAACACTTTTTCTACTTCTTTGGAGCGCCTGGAGTCTGTTGTGTTTTAGTTTTGGTCCTTTTTCCAAGAGCACCCTCTGCCTGGTCCCACTGATTGGAGCACCTGCAGCAAACAGCCACATTTTTGTTCTTTCTGCACAGAATGTCTGTCTTTGTCTACATCCATCTCGACCTCTTTGTTTACTGTTGTGCTGTTCCACAAAAGGGACCCAGACAGGTGCTTGAGTTTGACGTCATGGCTTCACAGCTCTTCGCTGACTGGCCGGTGCATGGTCTACAATTTACGGAGTTCTTGCAAACCGTCTAGCGTATTCCGATTCCTGACCTAGTCGCTGGAGAGAAATGAAATTGAGCGGAAGAACTAGGTGTACTAATTTTGGCCCGACCCTCCATAATATTTTCTGTTTCTCATGTGGCCCCATGTAAAAAAATAATTGCCCACCCCTTGTCTACAGTGAGGGAGGACATTGACACGTGTTACCATGGTGACCCTGCCCTGTCCGGCCCACAGGCGGTGACAGGGCCCGGGACAGGTGACTGCACTTTGACCTTGGGGGGGGGGCATTACCTCATTAGTGGGCTCCTGTCCCCTCACTAAGAAGATTAAGATCAAAAGGTGTTGTTCACGTGACACCACAACATACTACACCGGCCACAGGTTAAAATGGAGCAGGGGGCAGAACACCATGTTTAACTGTTAAAATGCAGACGTTTTGACCTTGTTTATGGTAAACTGAATTTAAAAAAAGAACAGAACTAGTTAATTTGAAACAGTTTGCAGTGGCCCAATCTAAATCCTCACTTTATTAACGCATTTCTAGCATCCTGATTATTCACCACGATGAGTTTAAAAGTGCTTTTCACCACTTTCAGAGGCCTTAGGGTGAGTTCTGCCGTCACAATAACGCTTGCTGACAAGAACTAGCATTCTAATTGTGCACCAGTGTTACTTCCTGGTTTGCGATAACGATAAAACGTTTTATAATTAGATGCAGACAGGACACAATGGTTTCATTTTGATAATAGGAGCAGCTTTAACAATACATCTGTACTGAGCAAAGACAAATTACTTTATAAATTTGGAAAAATAGGAATATGGGCCCTTTAATACTGTATTTTTGGTGGTTTGGGTGGTCCTGTGACTTATACTCTGGTGCGACTTATATATTAAAATGTTCACACTGACAGCCGCGAGAGGCTCTAGTCTTGTGTGTCAGTATCTGTTGCTCCTATTACTTCTGTAACACCGTCACTTGCCAAAGGTACAGAGAAAGAGCCACTGTCCTGATGCAAGTAGTGAAATATTCAGCTGAAAACGGTAAACGAGAAGCAGAAAGAAAGTTTGGAGTGAGCAAGAAACTTGTGAGGAACTGGCGGAAAGTGGGGATGGAGAACACAGCTTCACAGTAACCAGAGGAGTGCACCATGCAACTTTTCTGGAAGTCATTGGACGGATCGACAAAGCCTGGACTTCAATGATAACCGAAACCATCCTGTCGGGATTCAGAAAGGCCGGAATAATTCTAACTGGAACTGATGCTGAGTCTGACGACAGCTACACAGAAGAGAAAGTGGCGCTCTGTTTACCTCCGGAGGTCATGGAGTTCTTCAGAAGTGACACTGAGGACGAAGAACTCAGTGGATTTAGTGATTTGGAGTGAGATGAAGAGTTTCTCATCATTCTCTTCTGTTGTTTATGCTACAGTTATCTGAAGAACTGTTCATATGTGACGTTAACAGCCTGTAGTTGTGCAACTTAGTCTGGTGCCACTTATATATGTTTTTCTTCTTCATTAAGCATTATTTGGCTGGTGCGACTTATAGTTTGAAAAATACGGTAACTCTGTAATTCAATTTCTTTTCTGTCACCACAAATTAACTTCCGCTATGTAATTTTTTGGTTGGGGGTCCGTCACTTGCTTATTTCTATGGATATGCCTTTGTTCTGCTTGGAATGTTCCACAGTATGACATTAAACAGCTCTACCTTACATTTAAGGTAGAGCTGTTCAATGTCCACCTTACATTTATTCAATTACAGGTGGGTTTAGCTCAAAAATACTTTGAAAAACAGACATTCTGACTGTGAGTGGGGTCACCTCTCCACAGATCTGCCCTGTAACTTGATCTGGTTTGGTCTCCATGAAGATAGAAATGTTTAATACCACACTGTGAAACATTTGTCAGACCCTTCACCAAAAAGGCTCCACATTGCACCTTTAAGTTAAATTATATTTTTATTATAACAGAGAATAGTAAAACAAATATTCAGTCACGGATAAGTAAATGTTGACACGTGAAAGTACAAGCGGGGGGCCTGGCAGCAGTCACCTATGAAGCTGTGTTTACTTCACACATTGTTATCACTTTAAGTCATGTATCGCACACGCACACAAGGCCTGAACCACTATGGGGAGGGATGGGGGATTAACTTGTATTTTTTGTGATTTAATTTCAGATCATTCTTTTTTAAATTCTATATTTGGCTTGCGAATTTTAGACTGTTCCAGGAGCATTAACATTTGTGAGAAGACTGAAACATGAACTTGTAAACTAATACAAGAATCCCAAGCATTTCACAACATGTTTAAAGCGGTCGTACGTACAGTAACGTAATAAGTTTGGATTAGGAGGGTTTATAGATAAAAGTGAGAAAGCCACAGAGACACAGGGACATTTAGTGTTCTTCAAAAGGACGTTAAAGCTAATTAATGCCCTTGTAATTTCCTAAGCGAGACCGTTCCGATTCCAATTAAAATTTGACTGCGATGAGTCAGACAGGAAACGATAACCAAATATGGGCGCAGGCACTCACCATAGAGGGCTGTCCACGTCTGGTTGATGACATCTAAGCACACTGTCCCTGATCTGGAAGAAAAAAAAAACAAGAAGAGGAATCATTAGTGAGACATTAGGACTCATAGAAAGGCTTTAAAGGTGCACGATGGAACTTTTCTGTAATAGCATTTTACCCAGTATTTGTAGGGATGCAACGATATCCAAATCTCTCGGTACGATATTATAACAATATGCATCTCACAGTAAGATATTTATTGCGATAATTTGGATTGGCAAATATAATTCTGCTTTTAAAATACCTTGACAATATTTTGGTGCGAATTATTACCGTCTTATTATTTGTTAATCTCAAAAATTCAAGTAAAAAACATATTTCTTCATGTTCTCTGCGCTGAAATGCATCATGGGACACGTAGTTCCCGCTGTTTATTAGCTGTTCCTACTAAAGAACAATGCATTTAAGCAGAGGAACTTATAATTTGATATATTGTGACAGCTCTCGCCGATATGATATCATGATACTTGTGTTTTTAATCCTAAAATTCTTACTTAAATTCTTATCTTGCATTCTTAGTGTGAGGAGGGTCATCTCACAGACCTGCACAGATCCGACTTGTAACTTGGTCTGGTGGAGTTACCTGCTTGGCCCCACGGACACTAATAGTTTAATGCAATACTCTGGAACATTCCAGGCATAGTATGTCCATGGACTCAAACAGATGGCAAATCCTCCACCAGAAATGTTACAAAGTGCACTTTTACATGTCAGTACCAAGACTGAAACATATCCAAGAGTTGCGTACTCTGCATTTACTTTTGCTTCACCGTTTGGTTAAATTATTACAAAAGTGCTGAGATAAAAATTCAGTACACCTAAACACATTTTTATAGTTACAAAATAAAACATAAGACAAATTTAAATGTAAGAATCAGTTGTCAGTTGAAGATGAAGTGATGTGCATATTCATTACGAAATTTGTATATGGGTTATTTACTTAAAAAAACAAACAAAAAAACAGTACCCAAAATAGGACGTACAAGACGGGTTAAAAAAAACTGACTATAACATTATCAAGCAAGTAGTTTTATAAGTCATCCATGCAGGTTTCAGTAATCTTTCGTTCTTTCTTGGGTAGGGGTGTAACAATATCTAAGTCTCACGATACAATATCATCACGGTATGAACCTCACGGTACGATATTTATTGCGATATCGTGGGAAAGCTCACGATATGGTGGGGAGGCTCGCGGTTAGGGATGTAACAATATCAAAATTTCTCGGTACGATATTTTCACGATATATATCTCATGGTACGATATTTATTGCAATATTTTGTGGAGACAAACAAAACTGTTAATATGTGACTTTTTCCTCTTAAAATGCCTTAACACAAAGAACTAAGACTTAAAGCGCTTAGAACTGTTATTTCTTCTTGCAGTCTGCACTGAAATGGAGCAAAGGATCATGGTCTATGTAGTTCCCTCTGTTTTTTTTAGCTATTGCTGCACCATAACTTTTAATTTAAGCAAAGAGACTTGTAATTCGATATATTGTGATGGTCGACGATATTATTGTGAGAACTTTAGACGATACGATATCACGATATTTCAGTTATTGTTACACCCCTACTCCCAGGGCCTATTCAAACCCTCCTTAGGATAAAACGTACAAAAATCATGTGTTCGTACTGTTAACCATAAGTAACCAGGAAGCACTCTGCAGCACTCCTACACGGCACTTTTTCGTAAATATACAAGAGCTATACCCTACAACTTCACAAACCTGAGCATTTTCAAAACAACAAAAGATCTAAATATGCTGTGTCAGCAATGAAAACCCAACAGAAGCGTAAAAGCCCCTCTTCAACTTACGCTTCATCGATGTTGGGATGAAAAATCTTGTTCATGAACCCTGTAGAGAGAAGAAGAAAACCAAATGGTGTTTAGATTTCAGAATAAAACAAATACGTACAAAACGAGGCGCGGTGGTGAGTTACCTATCGACGGTGATTTAAAGGGGTATTTATCTGGAAGATCTACTCGCACCTTCCACACGCCCCCCTCGTACGGCGCTGGAAAACAAAACAAGAGCGTAAAACAAAAGGAAGAAAAAATATTATTGTAGTAAAGGGAATTACAATGTCATTTCAATTGTTAAAGCTGCACTGTGTCACTGATTGGTTGGTCCGTCAAGTTCTTGTTTATACGTTTATATGTCATTGCTCTGCCTGGAATGTTCCACAGTACGGCATTAAGCAGCTGTACATTACATTTATCAAATTATAGGTGGTTTTATTACTCAAAAATCCCTTGAAAAACAGGCCATCTGACTGTGAGCGGGGTCTCCTCTCCACAGATTTGACCTATAACTCAGTCTGGTTTAGTCTTGGATAGAAAGGTTTAATGCCATACTGTGAAACATTCCAAACAAAGCAATAACATCTCCACAGAGAAAAGCATTTGACTAGATAAAAATACAAATATATATATAAAAAACACCTTTATTTGGTTGAAATTACATTTTAAGTATCAGAAAAAATGTGTTTCTTGTGTAAATTGTGCCGTCACCAGTGTGGAAGTCTCTAAAATAGAACTCTCAGCTTCCTGTAATTTTCACAATTTTGAACATTTTCTTCACAAATGGCTTCTTGATTGGTGAATCATTTACAGCAGTGTTTCTCAGACTCTTTTTCTGGGGACCCATATTTTCAAAGTCACAAAATTCACAACCCAAGTCAATAGACATTATTATTCGTGAATCACAAAATAAAAGTGGATTTGACAATTATTGAACATTAATGAGGATATTTTATTGTTGACTGAGTCATTCTGTCTCTCTGAACAATTAGTATTACTCAAGTTTTAAACAATGAAAAACAGTAATTGAAGCAGCAATAAAAGCATTTATGAGTCATCTATTTGGACATTAAACGTTGCCCATTTCTTTTTCTTTTCAACATTCATTTGAACCAGTAATATTGGAACAAAATAGTCTGTAGAACTGTATATTGCAGACCTACATGCAAATTGTGACATGGGAACCCTAAAAAAACTCTCTTGCATCTTAGTCTTTGGGAAACAATGATTTCCAGTATGTACGTCAGGTGTAATCCCGCCAGCTTAAGTAGAAACTGTCATGTCAAACATTGTCAAATCTTGATTCAGTGCTTCCCACTCTTCACTCTTCCTGTGGCTCAGAGTCAGTGACAGGTGGATTCACAGTGTGAGTCACCAGCACTTTCATTGTACCTGAATAATACAATGAAAGTGCTGTTACCCACGTTCTGAGAAAAAGATGAATTTAGTGCCAGCTCAAACTGGCTCAGCAACTGAATGGAAAAATAGACACTTCACAGCTGATGTCATCAACAACATGGGGCGTGATGCTAACTCTAGGTTCTGCTCTGTCTGAAACTCGATGAGACTTTAATCTGTGCTTTGTTTTAACGCAGTCTGACCAGAAAGAACTACATTAGGTGAGCTCATTTGGGTTGAACATTAAAGGGCCCATCTCATGCAAAATAACTCTTTTCACATTGTATCTTATGCACATAGACAAGCACAATTTGGGTTTTGGAACATTCATTACACAATAGTTATGAAATTACAGACCAGGAACTATGAAAGACCGACTATTGCTAATCCCCTCGCCCGTCCTGAGAAAGCACAGGTTCCGCCCTCCAAACGTGACGTAGGCTCTGAGTGAGTCGCCCTTCATCCGCCCATCTCAGGGAGGGAGGGGGAGACAGATGTGCACCCTGATACTGGTAGGAATAAACTTTTATTCATCATGGTGATACAGCGGGTTCAGCCACATGTGTTGGACCCGGAATCGGACGAGGACTTGGAGGTGCACAAAGCGCAAACACCGCGTCGACATCAGCTGAACATTACTGATTGGTAAAGTATTAATAAACACTAGTAGATAAACTTATTATATCGTGTAGAACAATTAGCTTATGCTGTCGCTTTTGTTTAGGTGTTCATGTGGGAATTGTCAGCCGATGCAGGGTGGAGGCAGCCTTCTCCTACGTCAAATGTGTCATAGGTGTAGCTGGATGCGTCATTGTTGTAGCAGCTTTAGTTCCTTGTCGCGCGGGAGGGTGCCAGAAATACGCTGCAATTTGTAAAAAAAAAACATCAAATCAATCTAAAAACCACTTTGGTGACATATGCAAGCCCCGCAAGTCATTCTTAGAAGGTAGAAAACTCTGAATAGTTGATTTTGCATGAGATGGACCCTTTAAACCCCTAAACACAACATTTGTATTGATCACAGGCTCCGGAGAATGTGTTGTTTAAATCCATTTTGTGTTTTTCCTTGAGTTTTCAGACAATCTTGCTGATGTGTACAGCGTGTCTCCATGGTAACTCCTCAACATTTCACCAATAGCGATTCATGTAGAACACCCCCAGCGCGACGTCACTGCAAAGTATCAGTGACATTATTCTTTGTCCTCAATTCCTTCTCCTTCTTATATTGCACTGGTTTGGTTTTCACTTTGCAATCCTTCCATTGTAAATCACACTGAACAGCTTGATGTAAGAAATGCAGTTTATAAATAAAACTACCCTCTCTCTGGCCTCGTCCAACATTCACTTTTTATGAGTGTTTTAGTTTCTGTGTGTGTGTGTGTGTGTGCTCGTGTTGTGTCAGACGCTGAGTGCATTTGCAGCTCCTCTGATCCGTGTCCCTCCTCGTGCTTCGGGCTGCTCTTGTTTATGATCTTAAATGTATTCTCGGTTTATGATCCTTACATTTGTTCTTTCTGTGGTTCAGCTCAAAGCATAGACTGTATGAAGAAGTGAACTGAGTGAGTGTGACGTCACCCACAGCGTTTGGCTCCAGTCAAATGAAGCTCAATGAGGCTCGCAGTTATAGGGGCAAATTTGGAGCCAGGTCCATGTTAGAAGTAGGGCTCGATCTTGACGATATGGGCCAATAGTCCACGTGTGCATGTTATACCTCGTTATAAAGTTTAGACTCTCTATATTATGTCAATTTAATTCACTTTACAGACAGATAAATGCCCTAATATGTGACGCTGCAACAATATTTATTTGCAGAGTCATTGTCTATATGTGTGACGCACCCCAAGAGTCACGTCACTCAGGTGCTCTTGTTTAGAAATGCAGCTGCTGTCAACATGCTGGATTATATTCGTTTAAAGACAATCTTTTTGAGTCAAGATTGAAAGGACACTTATTAGGGAAGATTTGTGATCTGAGAGGTGTCTGTGTGAGAGGTGAATGCTGCAAATGTGTTGGTTTTGAAGCTACTTTTGGTTCTTTCTCGTTGTTTATCTGCTGTAGCTCCCACACATAAACAGCCTGTTTTCTCTGACACGGACCTAGTGTAAAGTGACAACAGAGTCCTTATACATATTACTGGACATGCATTGATAAGTAAATGAGCTGTGAATAGAGGTGTGAATGATTGGTATTTACGTATATAATCAATTACCGCAGCGCGCACGCATTTCCCACTAAAGGCTGATAGAGGTAGTTTACTTACTTTCTTTACTGGCTAGAATGTCGTGCAAAAATGCCATTATGCCGACAAACAGTTTTTAAATATGACTCTAAAGAGGCAGAACAACAATAAACGTAGCCTAAACAAACCCAATTTAAAATCCAATAGAACCAATCCTAAGTTTTATAATCAACTGAAGATTTATAGTCAATGTTGACATCACTAAATATATCGGCTATTGGCACCTACAACTCCTGTTTTATCGGTATCATATAGGCTGCAAAAAAATCCATATAAATCGAGCCTTAGTTAGGAGTAGGAAATTATTTATGGATAAAATTGTAAAATAAAAACACCAGGATCATATAGAGTGGGTTAATATGAACATTTTAAGACCAAAATGATGAGGCTCACTGCACAGTTACAGAGTGAATGGTGACGATTTTTCATTGGGAAGTCAAGTTGATAGAGCCTGAAGTATCCCCATGATCACTTCCTTTTCGGAACGCAGCGGCGAGGGGGTTAGCTATGTCCATTTATAAATACAGTCTATGGTTCAAACATGAGAGAGACAAGATTTCACAGATTTTTCTGTGGTCTCGCCCTGTCACTCAAACACCCACTCACAAAACAAAACAATAAGTAAATTACATTATAGTGTGTCCGGGCAAGCCCCAGGTGTGAAAAGGAAATAAGAGAGTATGACTTACAGAAACACTATGTCACTTTTCTGGTGGAGATTACGGCGACTGTCTAACTTGTCTAACTTGAGTAACAGAGCTTCTAACAGAGCAGTGCTTTCAGTTAGCATCACACCCTCAGCGAATGTTGATGACCTCAGCTGGAAAGTATCATTAAACACAACTAAATAGAGGACGGAGGCTCTACTGTTTACTGTCTGTTTATGTAACTTCAAATAGTTTTACTAGAGAAGGCAAGAGTAGAATATAAAACTCCCAAGATTCAGAATATGAGGTGTAATATCAGCTATTTTGGAAATGTTTTTCAGTGTTTTGTGGCACCATAGTACTCTAATTTGACCTTTTTATTAAATACACATTTGACAAATAAACAAATTGCTCTAATATTTAATCCCAGGGTTCCTGGGATCAATAACACATAATAATATAATAATAACATCTTTTGATATTCTTGTGTTGTGACGTCAGTGAGTTACCTGAATGTAGTAATATTAAATAAATACTAATACTTACTTCCCTGTGGTCCGAAAAACTTCACTACAAATTCATTGAGTCCGCTAAGGATGGTGACTTCGTGCTTGCTTTCGATACTGATTAGACAGTTAAGGAAAATCAGAACATGACAAAACAACAACAGGCAAAACAAAAACTAAACATATTTTGGTGTAAAACGATTAAGCTTTTCCAAACGTTCACGTGTAAGCAGATCACATCACACACCTTCTCGTCAATCAACAACCATTCATCATTTTATTCAGAGCAGAATAATCATTATGTCAATGCTTATAATTATCTGAAAGGCTGCAATTGTATTTAGGAAATCATGTTACACCGAGAATCTAACAGTGATAAGTCTTAAATTACCCTGTAGCCTATAAATGTGTAAACTTTGATGATTTACTGAGATTAAAACAAATTTGAAATCACAATTGAAGGTTTTTGTAAACTTGTTCACAAAATCCTACTACTTACAATATTTTGTTCCACTAAAACTGGCTGAAACTACATACTCAAAGAAAAAGTATCAAGAGTATTCTAGGGGGAAAAACACACGCATAAATCAAGTTTGACCTTTTCTGAATAGTCCTGAATAGTAGGGATGTAACAATAACTGAAATATCGTGATATTGTATCGTCAGAAGTCTCACAATAATATCGCCGGCTGTCACAATATATCAAATCACAAGTTTCTTTTCTTAAATACATGGTTTTATAGTAGAACTACATATCCCATAATTCATTTCAGTGCAGACAACATGAAGAAATATGTTTTTTACTTTAATTCTTGGGATTATGACAGTAATAATTCACACCAAAATCTTGTCAAGGTATTTTAAAAGCAAAAAAGTGTCCCAATCTTTATCAGCTCTTCAAAACATCGCAATAAATATGGTACAGTGAGATGCACATCGTGATAATAGCGTACTGTAAGATTTGGATATCGTTACATCCCTAGAAAATGGCAATACATGTTTTACCAAATGACTGGTCAAAGCATTTTATAATGTTAGTCTTCTTTTTATGTATAATATCATAATACCATGAGCCTTCCGACCGTATCGTGATATCTCAATAAATATCGTACCATGAGGTTCATACCATGACAATATTGTATCGTAAGACTTGGATATAATCAAAATACAAAACAAAAAATGCATAAACTAGGAAATTGGTTGTGAATTTTGATCACTGTAAATAATATGAGACCATGTGGTTACTTAAAATAAGTATTTTATGTTGCAAGTTACACTACATTGTATAACACTCTTATCAATTTGGTATAAAAAAACAACATATCAACTTTCTTTACATATCAAAATTAAATCAAGTTGTAAATGTTTAGTATGAGGACCACACTAGAGCAAACTACGCAGACTATGGTAAAATCAGTAATCTGTACATTGACACTGTAGGAGTAGAGATGTGGTCCAGGAGCAGCTGTCAGCCCTGTATCCCATTAGCACAGGCCTGGCCCCTGAAGGGTTAAATCAAACGCAGGTTATTTTAAGCTCTGGTTGAGTTTCCAACGGGCTTCAGCCTGAAACATGTCAGTGACAGCGGCGCAGAGGAGCCTCTAACCTCAAACACACAGAGGACCTCACATCCGCTGCAACAATAACAGCTCGGCGGGGCGTTCAAGTGCTTCTAGAAAACCTCGTTATGTTGAATACTGCAGCTCTCGGGCCTGCCCTTCATGTAAGGACAACAGTGCACCTACACAGCCAAACGAGAAAGCCCCAGTGTGTGAGAGAGAGAAAGACACAGGGAGAGAGAGAGAGGGGGACGGAGGGGGAAGGGAGAGGATGGACCGTGTGTTGTAACCAGCACAGACCGGGACAGAGCGGAGCTACAGACTCATGTGATGCCATAACATTATAAAAAGCTGATACTTTATAGGCGCATTGTGTAACTTATTGGTTGGCCGTCCGTCACCTGCTTGTTTCTGTGTAAATGTCATTACTCTGCCTCGAATGTTCCACAATATTAAACAGCTCTACTTTACCTTTACTCAATTACAAGTGTTTTTATAGTTCAAAAACACAGAAAAAAAGAGAAAAACAGACATTGTGACTGTGAGCGGGGTCGCCTCTCCACAGATCTGACCTGTAACTTGGTCTGGTTTGGTCTTCACGAAGATAGAAAGGTTTAATCCATATTGTAAAACATTCCAGACAAAGCATTAACATCTCCATGGAGCAAAGCATTTGACGGACCCTCCACCAGAAAAGTTACACAATGCCTAGTGACCTAGTGCCTCTGCTCAATTTCATTTCTTTCCAGCAACTAGGTCAGGAATTAGAATACACTAGACGGTTGTCAACGATTCCCGAGATCGAGGATTTAAAGCTGGAACAAAGAGAATGTTTGGTGAATTTTATCAAGGGGAAAGACATCATTGTCCTTCTTCCTACGGGATTTGGGAAAAGCTTAATATACCCGTTAGCCCCGTTAGTGGTGCATTACATACGTCGCGACCAAATAGCAACGATTGGTTGGTTAAATGATAAAATGTACTTGTCTACCGTCAAGCGAATTAATTCTAACGCTGCGAGATCAGACGGTTTCTATGAAGTAAAACCGGCTGACGAATCGGACTACCTTCAAATACGATTGGCCTTTAGAATATTTTGATGTCACTTGTAACCGAGCATCTCAACTTTCCATTCATCATCATCTACAAGAACGCTGAAAGTTTATGTTGACGCCCAAAGTGAAAATATAACAAAAGGACACACTGGTTAACAGCTTCAAATCTGTAAAAAAAAAGAGGTGAAGATTGATGGACCTGGCTCTGAGTCTGTCTTATCTGCTCGTTTGCGTTGAGCAGCAAAAGCAAATGTTGTCCAGTGGTGCAGATGTAAATCACACAGGCCACAGTGGGATCATGTGAGAGGAGCTCGGATGGCAGCGTGTGACTGTGTACATTCTATGAGGCTCATATTAATGAAGCCTCCACGACTCGCTCTGTCCTCTCACCCGAAAATGCCGTCGAGGTAAGTAAAGGCAAAAGTTCAACAGACATTTTGCACTGACGTCACAATACACATAATATTAGCAAAGATAGTGTGAAAACTCAAGACAAAAGACACAATTGATTAAAAACAACACATTTTCAAGAGCCTGCGATCAATATGAGTGTTCTTGGTCCTGTTTAGGTGTTTCATTTTCTAGCAAAAAGGCGAGAATGACTAACAGAAAAACTATTGGCTAATACGAGCTTGCTTGTGACTGTAATTATAAGTGTAGGAGACTTGTTTGACAGGACACCGGTTGTAGTTCCAACTTTGTCAGCTTTTTCTGGTCAGACTGTGTTAAAAGTTTAAAGTCTGGCTCGAATAAGAGAGCTTCAGACAGAGCAGAGCCTAAAGTTAACGTCACACCTTCAGTGAATTCTGTTAAAAATCAAAACACCAAAATGGGACGTGGAGGCTCGTGAAAATGTGTTGTTGATTTTCTTCAGTTTTCTTAAAAGGACAGTTCGGAATTTTGGACATAGGACCTCATTTCCTAGTGAGCCAGAGTGTTGGAGACGTGTGGAGACACTTTTTTGAAATAATCCATCCAGTCCTTGTATTTGCAGAGGTCGCTGGTGCTAGACTAGTGCATGTCAATGGTCATAGTTATCCTGCCACTCCACAAAACACCCGAAACAAATCCATTATTACACCTGACTGTTGATGTAAATGTCTGTGTTGATAGAATATTTGAAATAAAACTAACCTTGCATCACATGAATCGTCACATGATGAGGGACTATTTTCTCAGCAGCAGCGGAATTTTACTCTGCTCTAGTTAGTTGTGATGATATAAACGTGGACATATCTGGAACAGACTTCATGAGCTCTATGTGTTGCTGCAGGTAAACAAACTATTACAGGTGCTAGGTGATATCAGTCCGCCACTGCCGAGCTTTCTATCAGGAAGTACAACCCACTGCTGCTGCTCAGATATAAATCCTTCATATGCAAGATTGGTTTTACTTCTAAAATTATTCTCTCACTAGAAAATGAGGCCCTATGTCCAAAATTCAGAACTGTCCCTTTAAAACTTTTGGCAGTGTGTGCATTGTGTTTCCGTGGTAACTGCTGAATATTCCACCACAGAAATCAGCGTATCTCCAGGTTTGACTACCCCAAATTTAAGACTTTTTTTAAAGACATTTTTAAAGATCACTTAAAGAAAAATTAAGACCAACATCACACCCATTATTCGGGAGAAAAACACCAGATCTAATTCTAATAATGACCCACTAACTACGGTACTATATCTAGAATCTAAGGCCACATTTATATGCTGACGATTCTAACAGAAGAAACAAAAGTGGCATAGCGTCTTCACTTTTTATTCCGCGTTTAGACGAGTGTTTTCGGGAGGAAATCTGCGTGCATACGGTGACGCAAATGTGTGTGGAACTGAATTGGGTATCCATGTCAGGCGGCTCGGTGGTGATGTATGTGACGTAAACTCGTACGCGACGTGAGCAGATCTGACCAGAGTTTTGCGTCTTGGGTAGTGTAGATGAAACCAATTGTTTACTCATTGCTGCCGGCGCCAAAAACTAAAGTATTGTTTGCGCATACGCCTAATTAGACATTCATTCACATTACGTTATTTCACGTTGTTGTTTTTTTTTCCCCTCTCTCCATTTAACATTGTAAACAGTAAGCAAAAAAAATAGGCTAATGAAATTTAAGACCTTTGTGAAAAAATAAGACTTGGACAACATAATTTAAAGACTTTTCAAGGCCTTCATTTAGGAATATGAATTTTAAGACCTGTTTTAAGACTTTTAAGACCTCGTGGCTCCCCTGGAAATACATGTAGAACTGCAAAATAAAGCTGTTTTTCCCGTTGAGCAGCCACGTGCGTTAAGAAGCGCACTTGTAGATACTAACAGCGATGACCGTGGAATATTGATAGCCTATTTTTGCTCCTCTGTGGATCCATCCCCCACCTTGGATTAGTATGGGATACATTATAATCTGTGGATCGCATCAGGTCACTGTCCAGTAGCACCGATAATCTGATGAAGTGCCCTCGGTCACTGGAGACACAACAAGCGCACCAGAATAAATAAAAAACAGAACGT